GTTTGAACTATGGTGCTGGAGAAGACTCCTGCGAGTCCCTTGGATTGCAAGGCGATCAGAGTGGTCAGTCCGAGGGGAGATCAACCCTGATTGCTCTTTAGAAGGCCAGATCCTGAAGAGGAAACTCAAATACTTTGGCCACCTAATGAGAAGGAAGGACTCACTGGAGAAAATCATCATAGGTCAATTGAAAAAGACAGCTTTACTTAGAACATTCTGCAATAATACCTGTAATACCATTAAAAACCCACATGTGTGTATCCCAGGTCCTTGGGATGGACTCAATAGGTGAATAAAAATGCCAAATCCAATCTGAACATCTGAATAACTGTGTGACAGATCATACCCGTAAAAATAAATCATAACCAATCATAAGACCTGCTATATACTATAGCAGCATGACATGAAAAGAAGGAAATGTACAACCTTGGCCCTTTCTATTTTTAGTCCAATGCTGGACTCAGGTATGTAAGCCCTGGGGTTTGCATCATGACATCATATTGCTTATTTCACCATATGTCCCCCTTGCCTCCCCCTTGATACTTATGAACCTCCCCTTTATCACCTTTTTTCTGTAGCCTTGAGGTCACACGTTGTCTGTTTTAACCCAAGTTATTGATTCAGAAGTTAATCAGAAGCCTTGGAAACTAAGAAACAAATTGGATACTGTATTCAAGGTATTTAATTGATAATTTGGACATGTTATCTAAGGTTGGGTCTGACCAACTCATAGGTACTTTCCTTTCCCAAACAAAATCAATAAAGAGCATTCAAGATACTGTAGTGTAGATTTTTAAATCTCTAGTTTTATACAGGTTCCATGTTTTAAAACGTGTCTAAAGTAGAGAGAAATCACACAGAATATCAGACCATGTTTAAGCATTTAAGTTCTAAATGTAACCTCTAATCCCATGTTTACATTCTTCATATATTCATACATCTCTTGCATGCCCAATTGTTTTTACTTCCAATTAACCACAACCCATACCAAATTCTAGTAAGTTGTAGTACTTTTCACAGCTACCATGTCTGGTCTGCCAAAATCCAGACAATCAATAGGTGGCATCAGATAAGTTTTTCAATTGCTTCTGTCTTATGTTCATTCAGATAGCAATAGCAGTTAGACTTATATACCACTTCATAGGGCTTTCAGCCCTCTCTAAGCGGTTTACAGAGTCAGCATATTGCCCCCAACAACAANGCAACCAATCCCTGGCCATCAACATGCTAGTCCTGCCTTAGGCATGAAAGCTGGCTAGATGACCTTGGGTTACTCCCTCTCTCTCAGCCCAACTCACCTCACAGGGTTGCTGCTGTGGGGAAAATAAGAAGTTGAAGGAGTATTGCATATGTTCCCTGCCTCACGTTACCTATAAAGTAATAAAGACAGGATAAAATTCTAGTGATAATATTTTGCTTCCCATAGCTTATTGCAGTTCCACAACAAAGAATTCTCTGATTTACTAAATGTAGCATATCACCTTCCTTAATTACTATCATTTTGCATGTGTTTGTGTGCCTTTATGTGTGTTTGTGTATGCGCATATGTATTCGTTTTTTGGAGGGGGAAGGCTGTAAAAGGCAGATCTGTTGATGGAACAGGTGGCTCTTGTTTACTGTTTTTCCTAAACTGAAAGTACTTTTCTCTTTCCCTTCATAGATCCCGACACTCAATAGCTGTCTGTGGTACTATAGGAAAGAAGGGAATTGCATCTGATATCTGCAGTGTGGACCTTAACTGGATTTGTCAGAAACCATCTATATTCATCTAAAGATTTTCATGTAAAATTAAAAACAAAATCTTCCCCACTCCTGTAAATGTTGGCTGCCTTGCAATGGCTCTTCCACCACAGAGCAAAGAGATGCTATTTGAGGAAACAGCGGCTAAATCCTCATACCAGCCTTTTATGGATGAGAAAAGGAGCATAAAGGGAAGTGGCTTCTGAATGAATATGGTTTTGTGGCATTGCCAGCAAATATTTGAGCCCTTTAAAAAGCCTGTGCACCATTTTTAAAGATAGAGTTAAATAAATGAAAGAGAATAAGTTATACTTGCATCTTTAAATATAGCAAGTCAAATGAAAAAGAAACCTGGGGTTATCTTTCGAGAAGTTGTAGTTGTTTCTACTGCATCTATTTTTATGCCTCCCAATGCACAACATCTTCAGTTTCAGATGTATAATTTCCATCTTTCTTATTCTTCCCCCATTAAATTCTGAGACGGTAAAGGCTTCTCGATGGACAGGCCTATTCAGTCAAGCTGAGCAACGCTGGACTCTAAACTCCCCATCATTTCTCCCCATTGGCTATCCATGAAAACTAGGATTCTCAATTATTGTCACCCATCCCTTTAATAAAAAAAAATTATCATAATACAGATAATCCTGGAGTTGCATTCATTTAACAAATGTTTTGTTGGAAGAAATGTCCTTCTGGGTTCAGTTCCAAGTGGGAAAAAAGACACTGGAAACATGGAGGCTGCTTGGAAAGATGGTTTAATGATGGACAGGAACACATGGCTTGAGGTCCTGAACAGGAAAGGGGGAGGTCACATGCTTCCAGATATTGGATGAAGAAGAAAAAAGATAGAGATGCTGAAAGTCCCTGGTTTTATGCCCTCTCTGGCCTTTGATTTTGATCTTGTATTCTG